TCGATTCCACTCCTGGCAGGTCATAACCACCTGTCCGCATGTTTCGGGGGAGCATGGTGCCAGCTACCATAGACACAGAGGACAGAGTGAAGCATTAGGGTGGTCCAAAATCCCAAAATTTGATTTGAGTCACAGCAAAATCTTGTACCAAATACTAAAGAGAATGCATGGATACAATTTTACATGCCTAGTCCCAACTTTAGGGGTCCCCCAAAAATGCTTCTAAACAACACCTGATTAAACCAATTATTTGCAGTTTGACAGTCAGTCATTATATACGCTCCACTCACTGTAGTCACAGCTTAATACGTTTAAAGTAGAAACACAAAAGATACCTCTTAACCAACTAACTGTACACTCCTGTTCAGTTCAAAGACAGATTTTGCAACTGATGCCACAACGCTGCAGCGCTTCACAACCACCTTCATGAGGTACTGTTTTTACGACGCATCTCTAAGACAACTATTAGCATTTGTTGCAAGAGCCGTCGCACATTCTGCAGTGTCTCTGATGGCGATCATATCCTTGATAGCAACAAACATTTAACAATGAATATGATACAAATGGTGTTACAGGGTTAAATTTTATGTATGTATCGGTGTATTATAGTTATAATTAATATTTTGATGCACCAACATGAATTCAACAGGCTGAAACATTAGGCTGAGCTTTTTATGATCATGGTACAGTCTAATTAACACAAAATTATGTACCAACCATTGCAACTAATGAATTTTTTTTCATACTTAATTAATCTGCTGATTATTTCCTCAATTAATGGAATAATTATTTGGCCTATAAACATCTGTAAACAGTTTAAAAAGCTCATCAAAGTGACCTGGAACAAGGTGATTTCATTAACCGCCTTGTTTTGTTCAACCAGCAGTCCAAAACCCAACTTATACTTGAGAAGCATAAACAAGACAATGTTTAAATTTTTTAACTTAATGAATTAATCATCCAAACAGATGCAAATAAATTTTCTATGGATCAGATCAACAAATCAATTAACTGACTAATAATTGCAGCTCCACATTATATAGCCAGGTTATGTCACTGCTGGAGTCCCTATCTGTAACCACTGTTAGTACTCTGAACCTGCTAAAGGTCATTGTTGGGCAAAATATTAGGCACAGCTTTACTTTGGCAGTCATTGTGAAAACGTTATGCCAACTTTAAAAGACATTTTAAATGTAAGGAACACACGACAACAGTTGACTTGTTAAACACATTCACTGTGCCCCACAGCAGGTCAGGATTTGCATACCACCCCCCTCCTTCCATTTGCCTTTCCTCTCTGGTATTTGGATTGCCATGAAGATAGACATCTGGTAAACAATGTTTCAGGAAAGAGGTGTAGGAGGGACAGAGATGGAGAGGTTGATAAAGTACTGTAATGTTGGGGCAGAGAGACCCTTCCCCCCGAATTCTCAAGAGGAGAGGGGGGTGTCTGCCGGGATCCCCCATAATGCTCCACTGGGCAGGCAGTATAGTTTGGGGTTGGCTGGGGATTGTGTACAGTCTGTGTACAGTCTGTGTTCTGTGTGTTTTTATTATAAAAGTGGCTCCAGTGAGCCCACAAAAAGTCGCTTCTTCTTCCATTCAGCTTATGTTACGATGGAAATGTGAACTATACTCTTACGCAGTGTTGCTACCCCGGAGCAATGTATGAAAACCACTGTTTGAACACTCAGTTGTGCAGGTGCATGACAGGTCAATGAATGCTTTGTATCTTGCAGTTTCCATTTGACTTTGTGAGCAAAATGTGCATGGCAGTCAGAAGTAAAAACCCACAGACTCAAAGACCCGACTAACACTTCAATCCAGGTGAAAATGAGCTTGGAGCGAGGTGCTAGATGTCCTGTAGGCTCTCATGGCCCCGGAGAAGAGAGAGCAGCAGCTACAAGGCCTCGAGTGAGCTGGACTGACACTACCAACTTTCCATTGTGCTTTTGTCTTGGCCTCCTGCAGCTATACAGCCTTTGGGCAATACTTTTTAACACTTTTTAATACTTTTTCTTAATAGTTTATTATTGCTGTAGGTTTTGTTCATTATATTCTTGCTGAAGAAGAGAGCAGATGAGACAGGAACAGACACAGGCCTGCGAGGAAAACCCACCATTGCAGTTTCTGCCCTGACCAACAGCTACGCAGAGGCCTGAATGCCTCCTATTCACTGGCCCAGACCAAAGCAAACAGCCCACATATGACTGAGGTGTACACAGGCAAAGCTGTAACTAGGTTGAGGCACACCCCATAATCCTCCTTTTCTACTCAATAAATGCAGCCATGGGGTGGTGCTGCAGCTATGCTCTGCTGTCACTGTAGGCTGGACCATTAGAATTAAGCCTGGCTGTGAGGACTGTAAAAGTTTGTACGTGATGACACGCCCAGCAAAACATATGAGAGTGACAGATGTTGACATTTGCTTCCTATTGTGAGTTACTCGGTGACATGAAGGCCCGGTAAATTTACAAAACAGGCGATAACATTGCCCAAATAGAGGAAGAGAAATGAAGGAAGCTGTAATTGAACTTACTATTAGCCAAGTGTCATTCACGGGATGTGGGCTATCCAACTGCAGTCAGTTGGATTCCGGCAGCATTAGATGACCGCTGTCGCAGCTGGATCTCTGAGGAGAGTCGCACCCATCTGTACCACCGTCACCGACGACAACGACGAGGGAGTCTGCGTCCTGCGCCTCGCCCCCACCCTCGCTCTCCCGTCTATCTGCGCCCTCACACAGCTCGTCTGTCCAGCCTTCAGCAGCTGATAGCGCACTTGATCTGGCGGAGGACTCCCTCCCTCTTCTCCCCGCTTTCTCTGACGTCGCAGTTCCTGTATGTAGACTCCGCGCTTTAGCAACAGATCCGTTTCTCCGGGTGGCACAGTGCGAGGGTAACAGCAGCCTGGCTCCGCCGCTCCTCCGGAGAATTGTGACTTCAGAGACAAGCGGACTATTGGACCAGCGGGGAGACAGCCTGACCGCACACGAACGCTTTTACGCACGGCCAGCTCGCGCGCACGCCACACGCACGCACGCAATCACACGCACGGATCTGTTTTTAGAGACTATAGACCCATCGCCTCATCCACAGACTGGAACTGTAACTGAGTCCAAAGCAGCTCTTAAAGCAATTTAAAGTATAGAATGTTACTTTATAAACAGTTTATGTTCTATGTTTCTAAGCAGAACTCTTTCAAATTTTATTCAAAACCTGAACCTTCGAACAAACTCAAGATACTACATTTTTAAATTAGCCTAAAACATATCACACATCTAGTCTCACTTTGTCCTCAGACCTCTGTATCCTCAGCCTTACATTGTCCCCTGTAATCATTTGTATTTCCCAGCACCTTTGCATATTTGCATGCAGTGGCACAATTGTACTATGTGGCCAGGTCTAAAATGGTGACATACGTGTACTTTACGTTTTGATGTTTATTTTTTTCTTGCTTCATATTTATTTTTCTAAATGTTATTTTTTCACAACTGTTTTAGTCCAACCTTACGAGGATGCCACACTGCATTTCACTACACTTACTGTTTGTGTGTGTGTGACAAATAAGACATTGATTCTCACTTTAATCTAAAGCCAAATACAATTTTTTTTACTTTAACCAAAACTTCTCTCATGTTATTTTAACATCACTTTAGTATTGCACTGTTATAAATCTGGGGGAGTCTCAAGACTCTAGTCTGGGTCAAGGTCCAGAAATGCTGGGTCCTTCTGAACTGAAGCTTCTGAGAAGTGAAATGTCTTTAAGAACCCTGGACAAGACCAGTTGTCAGCTTTAGCAGGCCGTATATACTTTTTACAGAATGCAACTTAGTGTAATAGCATCTTTCATTACAGCCCCCTCCTCAAACAATTTCCTTTCTCATCAAACTATTCAGTGACCCAGTTCTCTTACACCCACATACAGGTTATACCACAGATTTATGGTTTTGAAACCCACCCTGATGACATCCTCACAGTTATTTTACAACACTGCAAAGATCATTACACGTTACACAAATTCTAACAGGCTGAGTACACTTAATGTGTAAAATTGGTGGAGTGTGTCTAATGTTTCTAAAAATGTCATCACTCTGGTTCTAAAACTAGTTGCTTCTCACAAGGATTGCAAAGTCTAATCCCACATGCTTCACTAATGTTCAGACAGCTTACAAATATGACTGCAGACAAGGGCGGCAGGGGGTCACTGAATAGTTTGATGAGAAAGGAAACTGTTTGAATCATGTATCATATATTTGGCCTTTACAGCACCAGTTAAACACATATGGCTCCAGTAGACCTTCGGAAACTTGGGAGGATTCATGACAAGAACTGCTGGAGCTGTTCTGGAAGATCATGGTGGAACGACATCTTAAGACATGTTTTTCCTTAAATCTGAAAAGGTCAAAAGTGTTTTTTTAAGTTGTCTCGACCAAACTGACAGTGTGAGAGTCTGTGTGAGACAGTGATGGGCTGCTGACACTATTTCACATTAAAACAAGCAAAGATTTACGTAATTTGGTGAAGCAGAAATGCGTTTTTCTATTCTTTCCTAATCATCTCTTGACCACTGATGCTGGGCCCCTCCCCCCAGGATGTGTTACTATATATGATCACACACTAATGTGGTCTTGCTGAAATGATGCTAAACATCTCTGAGACTGAAAAACTGTGGGCAGTGCAGTTGTAGTCCTTGTATTTGTTTGCCACCTACTGGTCGCAGTTGGAAATTGGCATTTTACCAAATTTGAATCTGCCAGGGGCCATTTTGAACTGCTCGGCGGTGTTACCACACGGTTGACTGGTGTGAGTAATGTGTAAGACATAAATTCACAAGAAAAGACACAAGCAGGGGAAATAAACAAACAAAACCCTGAGCTGAAATGGAAACGCGCCTGTAGCCAAACCAGCAAAACGCTTTATTCTTCTAAAGCAATTTAACTGTGAGTATAATCTAAATTTGCTTATAGCATTTTTATACTGAGTCCACGACTTTCTTAAAACTGTTTAGGCCTGAAGTTTGTCTTTGTTTGAAGCAGTTATAGGTTTTCTGTAACTTGATATAACAATGCATCCTGTTTGTGACCGGGCCTTTATTTACTGCGACGGTGGAACCGAATTTCGCATAGTTTCTGGCAGATATCTTATGTGTACGACTGGTGTCTACTCAGAGCCGTAGTTGTTTTGTATGAACAATATTTTTCCATCACACATTAAGTAACATACTGGATGTCCTGTCAGAAGAGATGACCCTCTGGATGTCACATCTGTGTCCAGGGCGGAGTTGGCGTCCAATGTCTTCATCAATGGTTATTCCAAATGTGCACATTTTAGATGAAAGAAAAATAGGGAACTTGTTTTGATTTTTAAGGAAGGAAATCTACCTTGTAAGATTTTATATGATGCACATTATTGAATTCTTCTGAAGAGATAGTATAATGTCTAATATAACCCCTAAAACAGTTCCCCTTAATAAATCAAATGCACCATTTACACTGCCTTAAGTTGGCTAAGATGGAGGCTAATCATCATTTTGATAAAGATAAGTAAGTGATCCGCTGTGTTTCTTCAGTTTTCAAACTTTTCTCCATGGTCTTCCTCAACTTGGCTGGACCCTCTTGTTCGAGACCAATTAATGAGGCGGCTAAACTCACTAATTGGCCACTTAATTGGCTCCTGTCTCTGCGCGCGCTGCTTCCGCTGGCTTTTAGCGCACCGCCATCCCTCCCTCCTGCTCTCAGACATCACAGTCCCACCTTGTCACAAAGATTTAGGGACAATCCCTCAGACGGGAAGGTGCTGTCACTGTGGACGCCCCCGCCACCTCTGGATCCCCCTTTATCAGTATCTCCCTCCCACTCTATCTCGGTGTTTTATGTCTGCGTCACAACGAGCGAGAAGCAGGGATGATGGCGTCTCTGGCGGCTTGATTCCGGTGCTGCTCTGACAAACCCGCCTTAATAGCATCAGTAGGAGGTGGCGGAGAGGGGAGGAAGAGAGCAAAAGCGACGGGAACATGACGAAATGGCATCGATGAGGACGGACAAACTAGACTGAGAGACGGACGGACAGTCAGTCGCCTTTCCCCCCTCCCCCTCGTCCTCCTCGGCTTGACTGACACAGGCGCTTGGCACAGACGGGAACATACATGCACATCCTCCACTTTTTGCAAACACACAAGCTGCGCATCCGAGCGAGCAGTAATTGGGTAGCGGAGATCCACAGCAGATGAGGGCATTTCATGTCCAGCCTGTCCAGGAATCACTGTGACCCCGACGGAAAGGAGTTCGACTTCACAGGTACCCTTCACCGGCCAGCTTACTGTACAATTTGCCCGATTTCCTTTTGCTTCATAAAAGGCTCCATGCACTGTTATTTATCCTGCGTCTAAATTGACTTGAGTGCATGCACTGGAACAAATGCTCAGCATGCAGGAATAATACCTGCACAGGCTTTTCATACATCAAGTTTAAAAAAAAAAAGATGTTAGAAGAGAAGAAAATGTGAGGAAAGTGCATGGCAGATGCTTCAAGTAGCTGCACAGTGATCTTTGTTAAACTGTATTGCAGCAGTCATCATGCAGTGTTCTCAGTGTGTGTGTTTCATGTGTGCAGTAATCATTTGTCTTGCGTTCTTGGTGTGTACTCACTCTCATCTTTCACTGTGGTGGATACAGTCTGTCGCTATGCTCTGGTCTAGAAGGAGGAGTGGGGGAGCTTTTAACCCTTTTGCACCGAAGCTGTAAACCCCTCTGTCAGCAATGGCAGCGAAGTATTCAGCAAATAAATCGGATTTCCATTTCACATGAGTCCTTCTCTCTTCCATCTGTCTCTCTCCTCAGGATGGGGGGAGTAAGTGAAGGAGATGATGTGTTGGCTCGATGGAGTGATGGACTACTGTACCTCGGCAATGTGAAAAGAGTAAGTGTGTGTGTGGCAGAAAGACACTTTTCACTATGTGTGTTCACTGCGTTTGTGTGAGTCAGTGAGTGTGTTCATGTGAATCTGAAAAGACTTCCATTTAGTTTTGTCAATCATTCTGCTCACCTGCTATCTCCTCTCAGGTAGATGGAGTCAAGCAGTGTTGTCTGGTGAGATTTGAGGACAACTCGGAGTTCTGGGTACTGAGAAAGGACATTCACTCATGTAAGTAGAACTACTATTTTCCTCCCTATTCTCTCAGGTGGAAGAGTAAGCAGCTTCCTGGTGGGGGCACTTTGTCTTTCTTAGATTTAAATAAATGCTCATAGTTTGAGGCTTCTGGACACGTAGATTTTCCACTGAACTTGCACTGAAAGTGTTCGTTTCCATTCTGAAACTGCCTGAGGTGTTGTGGGACTGTTTCTGATTCTTTCCCCTTGTGATCGTAAAACTTTCCGTTTTTGTACCTTTTGTCTCAGAATCTCTGAATTGTCATCCAAGAAAAATGCAGAAAAGAGATTAGAGTTTCGTTCAAGGTTATGATGCTGAGTGTTCTGATGAGGGCACACTGAGATGTAATTGGTACATTAGAGTCTGCTTATGAGTTTATTAGACTGATGACTCCTCAGGGAAGTTGTGCCCCCACTCCACCCAACATCAAGCGAAGGGGGAAGTTGGACTCTTGTTAGGACCAGGCTGAGTATCACCCTGTCAAATGAAGTGAAATCTGACAGGGTGCAGGAGACACTGAAATCAATGAGGTGGCAAGAATGTGAATCAATATACATAAATTAATGCCGTTGACTGCTCGCTCTCCATCTTCCTCTCTCATATTTACTTCCTCCCCTCCCCTGCTTCTCTCCTCTCTGTGTTTGCCTCAGTTGCTGCTGGAGTGGAAGAAGTTTGCTGTATTTGTGAGGCTCCGCCTCTTAAAGAACCCCTCATAAATTGTCTTAAATGTCGCCAAGGTAAGGAAGCACACCTCATCATGCCCCGTCAGATAGGGGTCCTCTAGCAGTTCTTGCACTGACCTTGAAGTTTTGACATAGTATGGTAAATACTGGTGTTATTATTAGAGAAAGTATGAGCTGTGTGCTGTTGCATCTGCATCCTGACTGGAATGAAAATGAATAAGATGCCTATAAACTTCATACACAAACTTTAAAGTCCCTTGCTGACATGATTTAAGACATTTAAAAATACTTCTGGATGTTTATAATGTTTATACAAACTGTTTAATTATCTAGATAAAATTTCTTAAAATTACTTCTGCTTCCTCTTCATTGGCAAATCCAGGATCTGAAAATATGCAGATATCTTTAATTTCATTCAAGATGTCTCCTATTTCACTGACAAATGTGTGTGGACTGAATTCTGCAAGTTGCATATTGGACCCTGGTTGGCTTCCAAACTAGCTGTGATATCACAGAGTCAAGCTTTAACTGTGCATGCTGTAAACTCAGATTTAAAGTAAGCACAGAGAAACTCTTCCCCCCTCAGCAGATGAATGTGAAAACATCATCTGGTGCAAACCATGCACATATATCACTCTGCACAGACACAGCCAAACATCCCAGTGAAGCAACAGTAAACTAAACAAATTTTTTTTGAGTGGAGTGGGAACTTTAAAAGTATTACAATGAAATTAGATATACTAAAGTGCAAGTGGGAGGAAGTTTTAGAATGGCACTCAGCACCAGGTTGCACAGGCAAGAAATAGCAGCAGATGTTACCGTCACATCTTCACAGCTCTGTCAGGCCACCAGGGTTGCTAACAGTTTGTTTTGTGAAAAAAATCTGACAACCCCTACACCAGATTCAAATAGTATAGTAAAGTCTTTTGCATGCTGTGGACACAAACCAGCAGAGCACTAAACGTGGAACTGCTTTGCTATTATTGTCACTCTGGCTGTCGCTTTTGTAAACACGAATTAAACGCTCTGCTTCCTCCTCCCATTACAGGTTATCATCCAGAGTGCCACACGCCAGCCATCGAACCGGAAGCTGACAGCGATTCATGGATATGTCGGCAATGTGTCTTTGCAGTTGCAACCAAGGTCAGGCTGCTAATCTCTCTGTCTCACACGGTAGCGAAAAAGCATTTGGGATGTAATATGGGAGAAATCCTGTCAAACACATCAGACTTGTTCTCCATTACGCTGTTGTGTATGGCAGGCAGCGGGTTTATCTGAGCACATTAATTCCCTCAGTATTGACTTCAGAATTAGATGTTCTACATGGTGTCCAAGAAATCACAAACAGTCAATAGTTATGAAGCTGAAAAGCTGCGCTGAAGTTGCGAGAAGTACGTTTAAAGTCAATCAATCACATGTGCTCCAGTTCTGTAGATATGAGTTGAGAAGACACCCAGTTAATTGTCAATCGGTCAATGTCCATATCTCATTGACCAGACTTCGATGCCTCAGACACAATCTCTCATAGTTGACCTACAATAAAATGAGAGGAATTGCTTTCCCCCCACTGAATGTGATCCGTCTCCTTCACTGCTCTGACGTGACAGTGATTTGAGAGGTCACCGACCAAATCAGCTCTGTCCTAAAATTGTGTTTTCAGAGAGGTGGGGCCCTCAAACGGGGACGTTTCGCCCGGCTCATGCAGTTTATGAAACTCCGCCTCCCTTACCAGCTGTCATCTTTAGACTGGGACCCGCAGCATCTGACCAATCAGCAGCAGTGTTACTGCTACTGTGCTGGACCTGGAGAGTGAGTGAGACTGCAGAGGCCAGTTTAAGTTTGACTGTACTGTACATACATGCTCTATAACGTTTGACATTTTCTTTCAAATCCTGATCTGATCTATGTCAATGTCATCTTGTGGGTTATTTGCATTCTGCATGCAGCATATCAGATGTGTCAAACAGTATCTGCGAGATTTCTTAGTTTGATGCTTACAGTGCAGTCCATTCAGTTGTGGTCAGTCAAAGAAAATACACCAAACTACCTTTGACTTCGCCTGCTGTATTTTCCATACTCTGCTTCCTTTTTCTCTTTTGTCGTGA